CTACTGGTACTCAAAGCATTTGCTATTCAAGGTACTGATATTCAAAGTACTTGTATTCAAAGCATCGATACTCAAAACACTAGTATACAAATACTACTACTTAAGACTACTGCCTGTATTCAAGTACCAGTATCCAAATACGCATGCCCACGTTGTCAAAAATAATTCCATCAACCCAGAGGCAGCATCGAGGGTCGCGTTCGCTATCGATTCGAGATTACCGATGTTTTATCGCGATTTAATGGCTGTCAGACATCGAGACTCGCATACACGGTCGCGTAGGCCGTGCAAAATGGCCGCGTCGTTCGAATACGTGTTTGTTTGTTTGTTTGTTTGTTAAACGGCGGTAAAATTTATTTAATTCGACTGGCTGATAACAGTTTCATGTTGCGTGTACTCGTCTCCCGATAAACGCGATTTTACCGCGACAAATTGTTGTCCGCGACGCCCGCAACGATTTGTCAAACGATTATAAAGCGTGCCGTTTCGCCATATAAATAGCTTGTTTATTTATAACGGGCGCCCGTGACGCATGAAACACGGCCAACTGGCGATTCATTAAGTGCCGGATAGTTTCGTGTCCGTTAAATATTCAAGAGCGTTGCGAACAATGAGAATGAGCTTGTACCCTTGGAAAAATTTTTCACGTTTTAGAGGCACCGAAGCGTAACGAGGTAATGGAAAAAAAAAGATACCATCCTTTATAGGGAGTCGAGTGAGAGAATTACTTAATTAAATTAAGATTCAATTAGGAAGTTCGTAGCGAAGTTACAGAGGTAAGAGAACCTCGCGATAATTACAATTTTCGTTCGAATACTTCGACGCGAAAATATAACGGGAGTTTGAGAATAGTAGAACGCGGTGGAACACTCGCTTCTATAAATATGAAAAATCCCTAGGCTGACACCAAAATGCGTTTTAATGCTCCTGGATAAAAATTCCGCGTTTTCCGAAGTTCGCGATGAGATCGACCGTCGGGATGAAACCTCCAGCGCCGAATGCAGAAACTCTCGAGGGTGCAAGGGGAGGGTCTCGAAGGTGACGAGTGAGAATGATGGTGGGACATCGAAAGAAGTTCGAATATCGGGAACCCGGGCGTCTCTATCACCGGATTCGCCCGTGTGTCTAAATCTGTCGCGTCGATTTGTTGGTGTTCCACCAACCGTGGACGTTTCTAACAATAAGCGGGCGGCATAAAACATAGATCCGGAACGTGAGGTCGGTGGAGTGCCACTGCATCCGGGACACTGACAAATAACTGTTCTACACGTGGAAGAGATCGACGATGTATCGACCCGGGCTTGCTTATGTAGCACTTCCACCGATCGACCAGGATGTTTTCCTGGTCCTGATGTACAAGATGCGTGCGAATAAATTCTGTTTTTTTCCTGATCAGAATAAAGCTCGACATTTTAAAGGAAATGGTGCCTTTATCTCTTTTAATTCCCTCACCTATTTAAAATCCCTCGAATTTAGAGTGCTGTTTTGGTCAAAAATATAGTGGAGATGTAAAATAAAATTTTGTAGGCTTCGATCTCTACGAAATAATCGTCTACGGAGAAAAAGAGATCAGTCGCAGAACACCTGATTGAATAAACCTTAGAATAGCTCGGAACTAATCTTTCCAATCTACTCCTTTCCTAATCTTTCCTACGGTGCTTCTGGACCGTGCATGATATTTGGTACACTTCGTACCCTGGCGCGAACCGTGTTCAACACCGACGACCAACAACGCCCACTTACCCTGTTGTAAATGGCGATGTCAGGCACTCCAGGGCCGGCGCAAGTGAGCACGTAATGGGAATGATCGGTGGAAAACTTGGCCGTGTTGTACAGACACGGGTTCCTATCCGTTTCACGGACGATGCTGCAGCTCAAGCACTTTGGTTTGCGGTGCGCGCCACCCACGTGTATCCTGTACAGATGCTGAACCGCGGAGTCCTCTTCCGTTGTGGCCAGGTAGTACCTACGGAAACAGGTAAAAAATGTTAAGCGTTCGTTTGCATAACTCGTACCGCATTTAATGGCTTTGTAATCGCCGGCCGGGAGCCGGGAATTTGCATTTCAACGAGCTTGCTTTGCTTAAAGTATTAACCAACGCCGCCGCCGCGAACCGAAAAAAGAACTCCTGGGATACACTCGTTCTCCCGAGGGCCCTCGGAGATCTTGTGAATCGAGGGCAGGTGGATTTCAAAGCGAAGTACCGTCAAATTTCGGGAGACTTTAATGGAAACAGGAAGACGGGTTCAATAGGAACGTGGACGCGATATTTCCAGCATTCAGTATGCAATGGAGGATTGTGATAGAATGTAAATACTAGTGAATGGAAATAGAAAGTGGAGGAAATCTGTACTGTATTCAGAGTACTGGTACTCAAAATATCGATATTCGAGGCACAGATATTCAAAATATTTGTAACTCAACGTATTGGCATTCGGAGCACAGGTATTCAAAATATTGGTACTCAAGGTCTTGGTATTCAAGGTAGAAATATTTAAAGTACTGGTACTCAAAGTATTGATATTCAAGGCACGGATATTCGAAATATTGGTACTTAAGGTCCTGGTATCAAAAGCACAGATATTCAAAATAGTTGTACTCAAGATACTAGTATTCAAGGCACAGATATTCAAAATATTGGTACTCAAGGTCTCGGTATTCAAGGCATAGATATTCAAAATATTGGTACACAAGGTCTTGGTATTCAAGGGACAGATATTTAAAATATTGGTACTCAAGGTCTCAGTATTCAAGGCACAGGTATTTGAAATATTGGTACTCAAGGTCTCGGTATTCAAGGGACAGATATTCAAAATATTGGTACTCGAGGTCTCGGTATTCAAGGCACAGGTATTTGAAATATTGGTACTCAAGGTCTTGGTATTCAAGGCACAGATATGTGAAATATTGGTACTCAAGATGCTGGTATTCAAGGCACAGATATTTAAAATAGTTGTACTCAAGGTACTGATATTCAAAGTACAGATATTCAAACTACTAGTACTCAAGTGATCTCCAAGACCAACAGAACGCCTGCCTCCCTAGGGCCTCAAATGTTTCTACCAATGTTAATCAACTAATGAATTTTTCCTCCCTGGAATATCGCGTGTCCACTCTTCCATATAACAGATCGCAAATTCAGAAAGTGACGTCTTTGCACTCCGAGATCGAGGTTACTCAGGCCGCATAAATGTTTTCAAGGTGAGGGTCACTTTTTACAGGCCTTACGTCACACGTAACGATTCGAAACTGTTAAGTCTGATTTATGCGTTTCGATATAGCAGCGGCTGTATTCGAGCCAGAAACGCGATCAGACCGCCGGCTCCCACTTACATTAATGTGGATCGATTGCTCGCAGTTAATCAACGCGTGATTAACCTGAATTACGGGGTTCTTTCCTGGGGTAAATTCATACCAGTCCCGCAGTTTCGCGGGGGCTGATAAATTATCGACCGAAAGCGAACACATTTTTAAACGGGTGATCGAAAGGTGTAAGACATTTCTTGCAGCCGCGGTGGGGGAAATTAATTGGCCCGACATTAAAAATTAGTTGGAAGCTCCGCGCTCACTTAGGGCGTGGAAGAAACCGAGCTTGAATAATTCTGAAACAATCAATCGTTCGAGGTGCTCTATTTACACGGCTCGTTCTCGACTTCCAACGATATTCTACCCCGAGCCTCATTCTTCACGAGCACGGCCACGCGTTTCCATAAAACTGAAAAGATCCTCTTAAGGCCAACTATGTCTGGGGCCATTTTAGGCCAGGAAACTAAACTGAACTCATTTCAGGAGAATGACGCACTTTAAATCCCCCACCCCGTGGCTTGTGTGCCACGTAGATACCTACCACGAAATTTCACGACGCTACACAATTTTCCCTGTGTCGATATGATGCCACGATTCTATTTATGGCGGTCAAAGCGCCTATCTCTCGAGGGAGAGAGTTTCCATTCCCTTTACTAGCCTTCCTAGTCAGGGAACACTGACTGGAGGACATGTCGTAGTAAACTTATTGCTTTAAAGACTTAATTGAAATTTTTATTCTCGGTAGATTTAACGCTACACGTCTGGTTGATTGTTACCCATCAAGCATACTCTGCGCCTACGAGGCGGCAACCAGAACTACGCGCCTACGGGTCGGCAACCAGTACTAGTCAGTCTGTAGTTTCGGTTGCCACATATCAGGGGCAGCAGGTATACTTAGCTCAGTCGGTTATACACCTAATGAGTTCTAGTTGAAGCTTTGTATTATACACCTAAATTCTAGTAGAAGCTTTGTATTAGAATAAATGATCTCGAATGGTCGCTCTAAAGAAATACTATCTTATTACGAATAAAACTCCATAAGGGTCTATTTAACAAAACTGAATTTGCAGTTGAAATCTTCCCTACCACTTCACTTACAACGAAATTACTTCGCTCCATGTAACGTCACCTCCATTTTAATCATTCTGAAGCAGACAACTCGAGCATCGGTGTCACAGAGATGGCCTGAGGAGGTGATATCTAATTATTAGGAAAGTGGTGGTTCCAGAACGTCGGACCAAACACTTGTCGAAGACATAAAGAGCACTTGGACCTTCATCGATTGTAGACAGCCTTCCAAGCCCGGACCTATCTACTTCTCGGTGTGTGGCTACTTCGGAACTAACTCCCCAACCTCTCCCAGAACCCACTACAAAGCTAGGACCCAATACCATCCTTGGGTTGCGCTGACGACTCGAGACCAGAGACCAGAACACAGCACCTCATTCGCTAACTTTTGAATCTGGCAAGATTTCGATGCTGCTTCAATCTCCACAACGGTTGGGACAATTTGCTCCGATTCTAACATCGAACTCGCGCGTAATACACGCTTCAGGAAAGAACCTCGACCTTGCAGAGTTCTTTAGAGCTAGATATTGAGACTACATGGTGATCTTTTTTTTTTGGTAGGACGAGACACTTCGAATCCTCTATACTATTCTATCGACTATACGTTCGCATTGATCAAAGGTGGTTCTTTGAAGGAAGGACTGTTTCAATTTGGCCTGCGCGCTCGCCTCAGGCTGGAGCCGAGATATCCAGAGATATTTCTCTGCGAGGATGCCAACTTGGTTTCCCGAGGCTCGTGTCTTACACGCATCCAAATAAGATGGATCGAGACGGCAGAACTAGGATCTATATTGTCGAAGAACTGTGTTTACATCGAACGACCACGGAGTAACGAAGGACCAAATGTTGCTCTAAAATAAACTCGACTGGGTCATTCGATAATGCTAAAGAAAAGTCACATGCAAAATTTTGAAGACAGACATTTCGGACGAGAAAGTGCATGTTATAGAATTTGTTCATATTTTTTGAGAATTAGCTCTTCTTTTTAGGGCCCTTCATCCCTCGCAGTGTCGAGGTTACACGACCTCATCTCGAAATCTAGGGAACGCACCCTTTTTGCAATCTGACGTGTTTGTCTAGGGGGGTTGGGGGGTGAGACAGTGAAACACGACGTCTGAGCAATTTCCGTGGCGCGGTTCGACGTATCCGCAAGCCGGATATCGGAGGGCCAAAACCGGAACCCAGCCCTCTACGCAGCCAGTTTTGCCCCGACTAATCCGTGTCTAATCTAAATCTGTGTCTGTCGACTTACCCCGTTGCGCTGCTTCTACCGCCCCTCGCGCTTACGTCGCAATTTCTATGCGCATAGATCAGACGTAGCCAGCCGGTTGGACAAACACGCTGCCATCCGGCTGGATTCGACCAGTTGTACTACGTGTTTCCTGCATTCGCTGCGTCCAACCGAGGTCGCAGATAATTCGTTCCGAAAGTTATTCGGCAAACCACGAGTTACAGGAAATGTTTCGAGCCTCCGCGATTTAAAGGCGACGATGGAAATACGTAAATTGTTTTTGTGACGAAACGAGAATTAATAATTAATCCGTGCTCCGGTCTTCCCCGATATTTTGCAGCTTAGTCGAAAACGCGCATCGCGATGTATCTCGTGACTTATAAAATTCCGGCGTTCACGCATGTAAACTAGGTGCACCGTAAAAAGCGTAGAGGATTACGATAAGCTGAACGCGCTCAGAGCCTTCCTGTACGCGTATCAACCGTTGATAACGAGCTCCATAGAAGAGAAGCAAGAAAGCATGGCAAACATCTGAATATCGAGAACCGTTCGTCTCGTGTTTATTTTTATCCAAGTCGGAGGGATAATCCCGCGAAATGAACGAAATTATGGACGTAAGCTGAAAGAAATATTTTCGTGTAACGATAAATAATGTTTGCAATGTAATTAAAAAATTAATCTCAAGTTAAACGAATGGCTTTCTAGGATACTATTGTTCTTTTGAAATGTATGAATTCGTAATTCTTTGTAAATGATCGAAAACTAGAACTGGAATCGTAAAAGGTTACTGTAACAACGTGTACCAAATAAAAGAAATATTATCACCGTTACTTTAACGAACGTTTCGTTGGACCATTGTCCCAGAGCGAATGTATTTCTACCAAAAAACAACGACTAATGTAGCAGTCTTAGCAGGGAACTCGCAACATGCCAGGAGAATGGCAATTAAGCGTCCTTATGTCAGCCGTTTAGATCCGAGGCTGTTAGGTCTGATTTATAACGTTCCGCTACTACTGCGCGCGGCCCGGCCTGTAACGGGATCAAACTACTGGCTCCATTTGCATTAATTCGGATCGATCGCTGGCAGTTAACGAACGTTCGATCAATCCGCATTATCCGGGGTTCTTTTAATGCCAAATTCGCGCACGGTCTGTCGATATTTCACGGCGCCAACAAATGCGATTATCGCGTCCTTAAAATATCGATTCTCGCGACGTCCGTCCAATTTTTTAGCCATTTCTTAGCGACAGAGACTTTCGTCCACCATCTCACGCAACTTTTAACCTGTTCACTTGTAAAATTGAATCGTTTTGAGGGTTGATAATAAAGTGAACATTAGTTCTAACCAAAACGAATTAAAA